GACAGATGTTACAAATGAAAGCTGATGCCCCAACCATTACCTGGTATAAACTTCCAGTTGTCAGCTATGCTGCCGTAAGGGTTGGGGGTGGGATGCTTGCTTGCCCTGTGTACCAAGTACCGCTGCATTCCTTCTTCGCTTCTGTAACGCTTGCTTATCTATGGCCTTGCAGGTGGTGTGTGTTGTCTGGGATTCAGGGAATCGTGGGAGCGCTTTCAGTTCTCAGCTTCGGCTCTAACGGCCTGGGGCTCCTTCTCCCGCGCGGGGGAATGTGGCTAATTGGCCTAAGGAAGGGGGGGTGCATACGAATACCCTATATCCCATTATGCTTGTAGGGGTGACGCCATTCTTAACAGTGATTTTGTTATTGCATCTATAGCGTTGCAATAAAGTATAACCTTTCTGATAAGCGTGTACTCAGTTGTTGGCTGTGGAACCTGACACCAGTGCCAAATGCAAGATATGCCCATTCAGTGTGGAAGCCTTAAAGTGGACCCAAAATTCTCTAGAAGTAAACTGGAAGACCAGTGGGAGCTCTGTTGCAGAAGGAGTAAAAGGTATTTAATGTAGTTCCTTGGAAGTTTGTGACATAAGCACACTGAAGAGGCTATGTTGCTTGAGTTTTTAAAAATATATAATGGAGTGATCTGGATTGGAGAGAGATTGTTTCCCCCTTTAAGAAGACTTAAATGTAAATGTTCCTCTCATGAATGGCTTTCTGCCTGATTCAGAAGAGTAATAAACCTGTCTGTGAGAGTAATGTTTGATGGTAGCAGTAAATCCAGTGAAAGAATGAATTAACTGCCATTGTACCTATGAACGTTCAGTTTGTGCATGGAGTTTCAGACATGCAGAAACAAAATTAACTTGTTCCTTTGAGGATTTACCAAGGTCAATATGATTTCAAGCAACTGACTATTCTTTCCTTTCCTTTCCTTTTTTTTTTTAAGAGTAAAGAATTCTTACTACTATTAAATGGGATTCTTACTACTATTAAACGGAATTTACTCCCAGGAAAGTGTTGTTAGAATGGCACTGCAAATCTTGTAACCATTCCTAAGTATATGTTAGCTCAGTTTCTTACTTCTCCTTTTCCTCTTTTCTTTTATTTCTGCCATTCATGTGATATTATGATCCCTATACACCGGGGATGCAGGAATGACGCTATCATAGATAATGTTCCCATTAATGATAATAGATAACATTCTTATTAATGGTATGGAACAACTACCTTTTTCTTTAGAAGGCCACCAACTGTGGTGAAATCCACCAATTAATTAATGAAATGTAAGTTGATTAGCCGGTCATTTAACGGAAATAAAGTGCCTTTATTTACTTACTTCATGTACCTCTATACTGAATTTTAACAAAAGTTAGAAAAGTTTACAAAGTGCAAGACCTATATCAAAGTAAAATAATTTATAATAATTAGAGCAAGAACAAATGACAGCTAAGCTTAATTGGCAAGATAATCCTGGAAAAACAATAATGTTCTAGGGATAAATGAGCCTGGTGGCAGGGCAACCACCAGCACGATCAAGGCTTTAAAGATTTTGACCAGTACCTTCAACTGAGCCTAAAAACTAAAAAGGGTGGCACTAGGGGAACAGCTATCCAGAAGGCACCCACTGGATTGTGGACTGCCTCAAGGGGCAGTGCTCTCCCCGATGCTATTCAACATCTATATGCGCCCCCTTGCCCAGATTGCCTGGAGGTATGGGCTGGGATGTCACCAGTATATGGATAACACCCAGCTTTACCTGTTGTTGAGCGGCCAGTCTGACTCCAGACCAGAAGATCTGGACCGGGTGTTATAAGCCATGGCTGGTTGGCTTAGACTGAGCTGACTGAAATTGAATCCGACAAAGGCGGAGGTCCTGTGTCTGAGTCGGGGCAGTGTGGGGGTAGGGATCCCACTCCCAACCTTCGATGGGGCACCGTTGGTGCCAGCGCTAGAGGTTAGAAGTTTGGGAGTGCTCTTTGATGCCTCCTTAACCATGGAGGCCCAGGTAGCAGCCACTGCCAAGTCAGCCTTTTACCATCTTTGGCTGATTAGGCAGTTGGTTTCCTTCCTTGACCGCAACGACTTGGCAACAGTGATCCATGTGATGGTCACCTCGAGATTAGACTACTGTAATGCTCTCTACATGGGGCTGCCCTTGTCACAAATCCGGAAGCTGTAGCAAATTGCTGCAACCAGGCTTTTGATGGGCCTCCCCATGCGGGAGCAAAACCAGCCTGTGCTGAAGGCATTGCACTGGCTGCCGATAGCATACTGTATTCATTTTATTTTATTTATTTTATTTATATCCCGCCCTCCCTGTGACGGCAGGCCCTTCAAGGTGCTGGTTTTTTACTTTTAAAGCCCTATATGACCAGGGTTTGGCATACCTGAGGGACCGCCTCTCCCCATATGTACCCTAGAGAGCATTACGGTCAGGGTCTGTAAACTGACGGGCCCTCCCAGGTCCTAAGGACACCAGGCTGGCTACAGCTAGGGCCAGGGCCTTCTCAGTGGCAGCTCCACACAGGTGGAATGAGCTCCCAGAAGAGATCAGGGCCCTGCGGGACCTCTTACAGTTCCGCAGGGCTGTAAGATGGAGCTCTTCCACCAGTCCTTCAACAAAGGAGCTGCCACCACTACCAACAACAACTGCCAAAACTCAGGGGTCATTTCCTGTCGGAGTGCCCCGGAGTGGTGCTCCGGCAGTAAGGAACCCAGGCCCCGCCCCCCACCTGCGGAGGGACTCAGGGAGGGGGGATTTAAATGCCTGAGTTCCCTGCCCGATCTTCTCCAGGTGCCCTGCAGCCACGGGGCATCTGGAGAAGATCAGGCAGGGAACCCAGACATGTCTGCCTCTCCCCCTGAGGCTCTCCAGAGAGACTTGGGGGGGGGGGAATTAAATGCCCTGCATTCCCTGTCCGATCTTCTCCAGGTGCATAGTATAAAAACAATTAAAACCAATGATTTAAATGACTTAAACAGTCGTCAGATCCCTCCATTGCAGCAGTGCACACAGATATTTTATCAATCAAACTTGGAAAACAACACCTCATCAGATAAAAGTCTGAGTGCCAGAAGAAAGCTTCTTGTCACCTATAACTCCCAACAAGAATCACACCAATGTACCACTTATGATCTACAGCCTATCCAGGATAATAACACTTTTCTCACACAGGCTTTGGGTGGTAAGCTTTGCTTTGAGCTGGCTCTTCCAATCTACAACATTTACACACCAGCAACCATGGGCCACTTCACAGAGAACAGGGCCCAGATCCAGATGCCACAACTACTCAGGCAACACTACTACAAGACTTAACAATATCAGCTATTCTATCAGGGGCTCATTCACTTGCTCATCCTCCAATGTGAGATATGTAATCATCTGCAGCAATGACCTACAAAGGACCATCATGTCAAAAGGATAAATCGATAATAACTTGACACAAACAATGGAATAATTCAGAAACCCATGGGAGAATATTTCATGTTAGCCTGAAAAATGACATTCTCCAACAAAATTAATTTATGGTAGACTCCAGTGTGAAATTAAACAGGGCTTAAACAGATAGGATACCTTTTGTAGTCATTACAGGTGCCACATTTTCAACAGCATAAAGGAACAAACACATTTTCAAAAGCATTTAAATATAGTATTTACTTCACTATAGGAAATGCGTGTTGGCTCCAGAAACCTTTTCAGTACATAAAAAGCTTACTATATTTTGTAGATTTCATTCTCTAAATCCATGTTAAGAACTACAGGTAAATGGTGTGATTTTACTATAAATGAGCCAAAATCATGAGTTCACTTCTCTATCATACCTCCAGATGGCATTAAAACTCCCTTCAAATGTTTACTGTAATGCATTCTTTAAAAAAAGATCAAATAACTATTAAAATAACTATTTACCACTCACATCTATGAAACTGAAAGCATTATACAATAAGTGTTAGAAAACCTATTCACTTGTCCTTTTCCATAACAAAATCTCCAGGACAGAAGTTTTCACAGGCTGTGATGAATGACTTCCTAAATTAGTTTTGAAGAAGTATTTAAATATATATTTACAGTCATTATCTAGAATATTCAACAATAGATCACACTTATTGCACTCTTTTTCTGTGCCTGCACTTGGCCATGTAGCAAATGGTAGCACTTTACAAGATTTACATGATACAGTACTATGAACTGAAATAACAGGATATGGAGGATACAAATTGTAGACCAAATGCACTCTAGCATTTACAGGACTGTACTATTACATAAAAAGCTTCCCCTTCAAATACCTAAAAAGGTTGAGTGATACTGCAGAAACTAAAACTAACCCCTAATCACGTGGACTAGACCAAGATTCCTTATCTAGCCAAGCTTTCTTCCATTGCCACTCTCTCCTACGAACCTGAGTCTATCTATTTGATGGTTTGAAGGATTTTATAGCAGTAAAAACAGTTGAGTCCTTTGTATATTGGGGAAAAAATGGATAAAAGGTCTCACTGTTGCATTAGAATAAAGAACACTGATACATTACAAATGCCTTTTCTGATCCATTCCTCCACTGCTTTTGTTAATTCAGAATCGTCAACAAATTGTGGGAGACCACTGATAGCTGTAATTGGATTTCAGTAGTTCAGAGGGCGAAGCTGCTGACTCCAGTCTTAAAATTACATCAGTACATCAAGGGCAATATGTGACATGATACCTTTTAGCCAGTGTGTGAAGTTGCTGCTTTCATACAAAAGTCTTTGCAGGTTTTTTTTTTTTTTTTAATGAAGTGGTACTATACCTCCTGGGGGAGGAGTATACACTTGGGGTGTTATAGAGTCTCTTCTGCAGTCAAAGAATGATAAATTAGGAAACCATCCATCACCAAAAGCGTTTTAAGAACACTGTTTTAAAGGTTTAAAGAGGATCTTCAGGCAAACAAGCAAAGAGGTACAAACTTGAATGTCAAGGCAAAAACCACTGTTTTAGACCGTATATATTAAGCTTACTTACGATGTATGTGATGCACTGTTCTCTGGAATCTTTGGCTCAACATCACCTTTTCCTTAGAAATGAAATGAAAGGAACATTAATCTATATTATTAATAAATAATCCATATGTTTAAAGAAATCAGAACATTATCTAAAGGACTCTTTCTCCTATAGGAAACCATGCACCAGTGTTGTTTTCTCCACTGCTCTGTTTGTGGCACCTTTCTCTAGGATGGTACGTTCATTTGCAGCCGAATTCCAGGTTTTGTTGGCTATCACTCCATGGGCTACCAGAGAAGAAGAAAACCCACCTTCCTGGTTTTGAGAATGAGTTGCATGTCAGCACCGTTTCAGAAAGGTTTTAAAGCTAAATTTTCTCTAGAATTATGTTTTTATGGTAGTCAGTTTTTGTTGGGAGGATGAAAGTGTGTGTGTGTTTGTTATTTTTGAAGTTACTGTTTTATATGATTTTATGTTTACATATATTTGGTAATTCACCTCCTCTCTGTCTTTTCCAGTAGAAAAGATGTAGTATATTTTAAATAAATAAACATAACAGTTTTTCCAAATGCACACATATATTTATTTAGATGTTCTTTCAAAAAGCTTTTCCCAAATTCAAGACACACAAGAAAACATAAAAATATATAAACAACAAATATACAACAAGAACGGAACACAGAACAGCCCCCACCATTAATTTCAACTGAGTGCAAAAAAAGGTCTTCTCATTTAATTTTTCAACTAAATGCAATTTAAAAATATATATCTTGCATCCTTTGCAAGACTGCAAGAGACCACACTCTCATATGGAAAATGATTCCAGACAGTGTGTGCCATCACTGAAAATGCACTGGCATCCATCTTCAACTTGGTCAGAAGCTGGCCATATTTCCCAGTTCTTATTTGAAATATGGGCTCATGTTTAGAGAACTTGTCCCTCACCTGTGTGGATCTTAGGCCATGAGCGGCTTTCAACATTAACACTGGCATCTTGTACTGTTTATTTATTTATTTTTGGGATTTATATCCCGCCCCATCCAGTATTCAGCTCGGGGCGGCTTACATAAGTTAGGGCGGCTTACATACTGTGCTGACAAACATATGGTTACCAGTGGATACTAACTGGTTTACGTATTGTCATGATCCTAATACCCAACAAAAGATGGGTGGCTGCATTTTGCACTTGTTGAAGTGTCCGATTGGTCTTCAAGGGCAGTCTCAGATAGAGTTTATTAAAGACGTCTAGAAGGTCCTGAATCATGCATCAGTATTGAATGGTCAGACCTATCTATAAGGAGGACAGCCTCCACACAGGATTGTTAGCTGAAAAAGGCTCTCCTAGCTACAGCTTCAAACTGTTTTTTGAAAAGAGGGAAAGGGGCAAGGAGCACCTCTTGCCTTGTAACTGGACAGACACATATCAGCAGCCTCACTTATCACAAGTAAATCAATTTCTTTCAGAACATTGCAATGCAGTACCAGAATCACCATCATCTTTTTGGAATTCATCTTTATTTCATTTATTTTCACCCACTTGGCCACAATTTCCAGAAACTAATTCTGGTCAGAGAAAGCTGCTGTAGAGCCTCATGTAGAGCACTGTAGAGGCCCATGTGTTATCAACATATTAATGATGCTCAACACCATAACTACAAGTGATCTTACTCAGCAGCTTCATTCAGAGCAGAAAAAAGCACCAGCCCTTGTCATATTCTGTATAAAAACCTCAGGTAGATAACCCAAGTATTTAAAAAACAACTGTTAGGCCCTGGTCACACGGGCCGGATATCGCCGGGGGGGGGGGGGAGATGTGGCTGTTTGCCCCGGGGCAAAATAATGCGTGGTTGCGCGATCCGACATCCCGTGGAGGTTCGGTGGAGGTCCCGTGGGTAGGGGGGATGTGCTGATCACAGGACAATCCTGCTGCGCGGCAAAGAAGCAGCACGATGTGGCAAACGTTTTTTCCTGTACACTAAAGTATGCGCATGCTCCGTTGGGTGCTTGTGTGCATCCATGAAGAGTTCGGGGAAAAAAACCTTTTTGCAAGGGGACATGGGCGGGTGCCAGATGCCACCGGAAACGCGATCAGACGCCCGCCCTTGCCCCGCAGTTACCGGAAACTAGTACCTCGGAGGTACTAGTTTTTTACCCCGCATCTTCGGCGGGAAGCCTCGGGTGAGCCACGGGAGCTCTATGCTTCCCAGATGTGGCAGTGAGATCATGCCCGAAAAATCTGCCTATCTTCCGTCTCTCTAGTGTGGCTAAAGTTCCGTGTGACCGCAGCCATAGAATACTTTCAGACAAAAAGACGAAAGCCATTCCACCTACGTGACCTGAACACTTAAAGAACAGAATATTTTATAATATGTTGAGAGATTCCCTGGAATTAAAATGGAAGGACTTCTCTATCTACTAGCAGAGATTTGGGATTTGTTATTGTGAAGCTTCCTTAGGTCTGTAGCTCCTGACAGAGAGACGTTAAGCTGAAAAACTGAAGCTAGTGAACATATGGTCATTTTTAGTAAATTTCTACTAAAAACAGCTGAGGCATGTACATGAGAAAAATTAGGTAGCTGATGATTTTGATACGCATTAGAAAATTAACATGTAACTTGAGTAAAATTCAATTAAGTATTAGCTCTTGGAGTACAGGTGGGCAGGATATTTTGATTGTTTTAACTTAGATTTACTGTTACTACTAAATAACTGCTTTTTATCTAATATCATGAATTTCAACAGGTAAAATATCAAAAAGAAAGTCACCTGGTTTTCTGTGTAGTCTTAACTTTTATTATTTGGAATACGCCATTGGTTATCTATCTTTCTCCTAAAGAAGGAGTGCTTATTGCTAGGTGATTAATAATAATATTGCTAGAAGATTAATACTCGCAGTGTATGCAGAAAGCACTAAAGATAAAACTGTAATTTCAGGAGAATGGCAATTATACTTTAACTGCTGGAGAAAAATGCTTAAAATGAGATGCAGGCTTTGCAGTTCTTATTTCAGATGCAACATCTGGCAACACAGAAGCTACCACATTACCAGAACTCTGAAATAAGTGTCTCAAGCCTGCAGTCAGAGCTGTTCTAAATCAACACAAGCTTAGAATGTCATTGTAAATATTAAGCAACAAGTTGACAGTGCAGGAATTTATTTTATGTAATTTCTCAGCCTCAAACAAAACTTATTCATATATGTATGCCCCATCCCTCCTCTCAGTATTATTACTAGTAAGGCAGCTTCCAACGTTAAAGCAGTAACGTAACAAAACAGAACACTAGTTAAAACACAATAATAACTTAACACTCTAAAAAAGCTAGAAGTAAAAAGGCTATGTCAGGGTATCATGGAACCCACCACAAAAAAAATTATGCTAGAGCACTCTCTGTTCTGGGAACAATTTTTGAGCAAACTGTGGTCAGAGCTTTTGATCACTAGAAAATAGCTGCATTTTAAAAACATTTATACAGATGCACCTAGGTTGTCCCTTCCCCTAAACTATTTTCTGCCCCAAAATAAAAGGTAGTCTCAAAAAACAGGTTGTCTCTCCATTAAGTTTGAGATCTCCACAGCACCAAACCTTTTCGTGCAAGAGAGAATATATTTCCTGAATATGTGCACATCCAAGACTAAGAAAGACTCACCTGTTTCTTTTTAGGTTTCTAGGCTTGACACTGCTTCATATGAATTACACATGCAATGCATTTGTACACACAGTCAGTTCAGTGTATGCTCATTCACTTCAATTGGCTTAGACTGGACTGGAGTAACAATGCATACGAATGTATTGCAAGTATATTAGTTCAAAGGACCTGAAAATGAAATTTGTTAGAGTGAGCAACTCAGCATGCCTGGACATTTGGGTAGGGCTGCCAAATGCCCCCGGGGGGCGGAATTCCCCCCAGGTTTCGAGCCCCGATTCCCGCTCCCGCGAAATCGGGGCCCGGGGGAAACCCCACCCCCGCGTCCGCGTCACCCAGAAGTGACGTCGGATGCTGGGGGCGGAGCCACGCCATTTGAGGGGAAAACAAAGAGCCCCCCCGCTCCCGGCCAATTTCGATTTGGCAACCCTACATTTGCGGTGGGGGGCCCATCACTCTAAGTGTGTGTAGGTGTTATCTCCTTGAATGGGATGCCTCTCTTTGTCTTAACTTGGGAGCTGCCCTCTGACCCCTCCTCTCTCACACACTTTGTCCTTTTACTTCTTCACGTGGCCTTCCATGGAGACACATTTCTCTGCAGGTCTCTCCAGTGGATACAATTGCCCTCATACTCCCACACACATGATGCCAGACAAGCTGGCCATTTGTGGTAGGGAAAGTACTCTTTAGACTAGGCTTCTTTCTCTCCTGAATGCAACCTGAATGTGAACTGGATCTACTTGAATAAATGTAAGCTTACCTTTTCTGCAATATACTTCTTGGGAGACTTCTTACTGCACTCAGTATCATGCTTCTATGACCAGGCAAAGCTCTGCTGTATTAACCAAATATCCTAATAAAATTGACCAAGGCTTTTTTTTAGCCGTGGAAGTATGACATCTTCAGGAAATGAAACAATAACACCAGGAAAGGAAGGGTTCCTGGCTGTGGAGACCAAGGGAAGAGTAGGAGAGTTAGGATGGACAGTAACCGTGGAAGCATAAAAGTAGCACAGGAGCTAAGAGCTCACTTGGCTACTTTTCAAATAAATATCTCATGATGATCTGGGGCATTAGCAGCCTAGCATGCACAATCAACAGCTGCATGATCAACAGCTTCTGTGTGACCGGCTATGGTGGTCACATAGATTATGAAATGGACTGTAACTGTTAGGTAGGGTTCTATGGAAATAGGCAGTCCTTAAGTGCCCTGTTGTAGTCTGTTTAGGGCTCTACAGCTAATTCTCAGTGTCTTTAACTGAGCCCAGAAGTGGAGTGGAGTGTATCTTTCAAAACTGGCAAGATATGTTCCTGTTAACTCATACCAGCAAGCAGCCATATCTTTTACTAGTCAAAGCTTCTGGAGAGTCATAGATATCCCTATGAAAAGTACATAGCAGTAGCCTAACTTGGACCTGATGAGAGTATGGATAACTGGCCAGGTCATTGTCTCTGAAGGACAGGCTGCAGTTGCCTCTCCAACCAAAGGGGGAGGGGAGGCACTGAGCTCAGAGGATACTTGCACCTCCAGCTGATGACATGGATCTACCCAAACTGTGAACTTTTTGGTGTTGTTGCAATAACTCCATATAGGAATTCATTACTGGCCTGGCATGTTACTAGTAAGTTTTGTTGTGAAACTGGGAATTTTAAAAAGGGCTGTCTCTCTCTCTCTCTCTCTCTCACTATATCTCCTTAGTTATACAAAACATATACACTAAGGCAATTCTAGTTGGCAGATTTCTGATCAATGTTTATACGTTCTCAAATTCTTATTCTTGGATGGCGCATCTCACTCTCCAAACACCATTTGGCTTCCATCTGATGGCCTATCAGAGGAGGTGATGCAATATTAAAGCATATATTCCAGGATAAGTGTTGGACTGAAAACTTTGCGGGTTTTGTGGTGATGAAAGTATATACATTTTTTTAAAGTACCCGAAGGTACACCTTTATTGTTTTCTTATATACCTACACACAGACATAAACAACTACAACAAACAACATATAGGCCAAGAGACTTATTACAGTTTGTTACTACATCTACATCATCGCTTCACTGTTCTCTATCATTTGTTAATATTCTCTAGCTCCATTATTATATATTGCTACACACTCCAATGTTAATTTTGCCAAAAGTATATACATTTTTATCACTGACATCATCTGTTAACCAGGGTAAGGTTGCCATATCTCAGGCTATCTGTACTGTCTCCTGTATAAGACTTGGAGTTGCATCATCCATCATGGACAAAGTCCAAAGATTTCATCTGGAATCCCACCTTGGAGGAAGGCATTTCGGATTAGTAAGTGACTCAAGCATACGGAATTAGGAAAAATGTACATCTAGAACCAATCCTCCCCCAGCTCTACTAACACAACACAGAAAGAATTATTGCCCTGATTAGGGGAAACAAAAGGGAAAGATCAGCACACACAGTGCTGCTTTTCTTTTCTTTACCTGAACAACAGCCTCTCTTCCTCTCTCCTAGTTAATTTTGTAGGGTGCCATTTTTGTTTTAAAAATTATGGTACGAAGACCTTACTACTCTACTTCCTCATTCTACCAAAGTACCAGAATTTGTACCCTTCAAGGGAACAGGGGGGAACTACCCATGTACCATAATTAGTACCTTTGGGAGGGGGGCAGGGAGAAGCAGGGACACGGAACTGATATTTACCAACAGAGAAACAGTACAATGGTGCACCCTGATTTCTCCCCTCCGGTTTCTCTGATCATGGCAGTTTTCTTTGTCATCATTAGTCTGTTTCATGAACCAAAGATCATTAACAATTTAACAGCAGCAGACAATTGCCAGACCAATGCAAACTTTCTAATTTTAAAGCAAGTTATGATAGTTATCCTTCTCTTAATGTTGCATCCAGAGCAGCTGGTCTATCTTTATCTCCATTTTGTTCTTTAGTACTTTCTGCTATCATTGCTGTATTCATTATGGTATTGAAACCGTCTTTGTTACCATTTTATTATTTCCTCGGTGCTGGTCTTCACAGCAATATCAAACAGTTGCTGGTAATTAAGCAGCACCATCCCGCATTGCTTTTTCTACCACGCTGCTTTTCATCCCTGACCTTTCTTTAGAGAAGTGCTGTCCTGAATTAAACCAAAAGCCTCCTAACATTTCCCCCTCTGGATAAGTTTCTCCTTGCTCAGTAGGTGACCAGTCATTTTCAAAGCCCTATCTACTGGCACAGAACATTTTTCATCTTCAAACACAGCTTCTGTAATTTGCAAATAGTGCTGTCTGCTATAAGAGAGGTCACGAAGCTAACACAATACAGCTTATGTTAGGGATGCTTTCATGTTGTGAACAGGATAGGGTCATGTATTTTTAATATGCAGGGCAACATTAACACCAATCAGGTACGTCAGGGGAAAGAACTAATAGCTTGTCTCACATAACAATTCCCTCTTTCCTTTTCAGTGCAGAGGTCGCATGTTTTAGTTGCATCTAAATGTAACTAAATTCACTGTTCACAGACTGGTGACGCCTACATGAGAACTAGAATGTCAGCAATGAGTTAAAGAATCTTCTGTATTCATTGTCCTTCCTTAGTGTATGTTTTAGGACTCTAAATAGAAAGACTAAGAGGACTCTACATTGGCTAAATAGGTGTTATGTGCTTTTAGGGCATTAAAAAAAGAAGCCGCCAAATAGGAATTTTGGATATATCTATTCTGAGTGAGTTTTTTTCCTTGTAATCCTATACTGCTAAATTTTATCCTACCCATATTTTACTAGTTGCTGACATCCAAGATTATCCGATTATAGGTCCCCATTTGGAATGCTGTAATAACTACATATTTCCATTAATTATCCCTCCTTTATTTCATTGTACACATATAGAATCAGCATTTCCATCAAATGTAACTGCAAAGTGGTTGATCTTACTTTGATTGCTGTGTCCTGTAGAGACATGCTGCGAGTCCTGAAAAAACAAAAACATGAATCAGTTATATAGTTTATAATGAAAAAGATGAATTAGTACAGTGAAATAACCTAGGTTAACAACAGAAGCTAGGTTAACAACATGTTTAGTTACAAGTTCAGGAACTGTCACCCTTCTGCATTCAAGGGAAGAACACAAAGCAATTCTGCTGCATAGAGGGCTTGGACTACCACTCTAGCCAACTCTGGAAGAAAACGGGTCAAAGGGTAACATATCTGTGGTAGGATGTGGCATTTCTTAGTCTACCTCCTTAGCTACATTTGAACAGGACATCCGACCTGCAAACATACCTGCCTGAAGGAGCCCAATCCTGATGAGTTTCAGAAACTAACGTTTCCCTTCTCATGTCAATATCATTCTGTGCTGACGACCCTCCCCCATTTTGTTTGCATGCAGCACTGAAATCCTTTTTTTTTTTTGCACTGGGGACACTGCTGTTTGCCTCCTCTATGGCCCCCTTTTCAAGTGGCCCCCTTTTCAAGTCAGTACCAGCAAGGGAATGAAACCTTGTGCAGCACTTTTAAAACTTAATTAGTGTTTTATTGCTAGTCTCAGATCACTCAATTAAAATATTAAAATGATGGTTGGGAAATCCAAAAGTTGTGTGAAAAAATGCAGTCCGTCTTGGGCTTCCGTTTACAGTGCTGGAGATAGATAGATGGGCAGGAACAAATTTGAAGTGGGCAGAGAAGTTGATGTCAAGAGGCAGCAAAAGGCAGCAAAGAAAACTCTGATGTTTTCTTTCTGGTCTTTTGTTCACTTTGGCTTGGCCATGAACCCCCCCCCCCAAAGATGCCACAAAAGAGCACTCAAAGGGGGGGGCAAAAAAGTGAAGCCAGCCTGGAAGCAATCAAAACATGTGCGGAAGGGGGGGGGAAACCAATGGACATGTAACCTGAATGTGAAGGGAAACTGACATGAGTAAAAGGCCTAAGTTGGCCCAGGCCCTCCAGTACCTGGACAAGTCACCAATAACAGCTCTTCTATATGTCAACTGACCATTCAGTAATACAGTCATTAAAGTGAAATTTTGCAATTGTACATGTATGAGTAAGAAAGTTCTTTTAATATCCAGGATCTGGTCTCACTGGCTACACTGAAAAAGACAGCCACTTTTTTTATTGATAGCTACACTTTTCCCAGCAAGAAAAATGATAGCTGTTCTGCTGAAAAGCCTGGTTCTATAGTTGATAATGGAGCAGTTACATCATCTATACATCCTTTATAAACATTACAGAACAACAGTACATAGGATGCCGTTTCTGTCAGCCCTGTACCACGGGGACATAGTTGATTACTTGAGCAGATATGCCGGCTGATGGCAAAATACTACAACATGCTAATATATAAGCTGTCCTATATTTTGGTACACTCAGTGTTTTTAAATAGCCCAGACCGTTCTGAAATACTATAAAGTTTACACCTAAGGTTAAAAGTGAGCAAGGTCTACATGGCACAGCATACATATTTTGATAATCTATATCGCAAATCTTTACTTGACTACTGCTCAGGTCTTTTCTAATTGTAAAACCATGAAGCTAGGGTAGAAAATCCAGCACTGTTAATTTCCTGAAATATAACATTTGCTGATAAATACATCTTTCAATACTAAAGAGGCAAAACTCGAGGATGGATCTCGATGGCAAATCATCAGCCAGAAATTTATGGCTGCAATCCTTGCAATAGCTGTTAATGAACATAATCCCACCTAGAGGATGGTAATTGTGGCTATCACACATTCAGGGAGTCCCAGAATAGCTCTGCGGAATCGTGCCAGTATTCTACATTTGGACTGCATCCATCAAGCCAGACAGGTACCCAATAAAGTAGCAGAGGCATCATTTTGGCCCTGTATACTTGAACTGCAGCAAGAATAAAGCATCCACTTTTGACATAATAAAAATAAATCATTGCTTGAACAGATTGTTTGGCATTTGCTTGTGCATGACAGAGGTATGCCGTCCATTTACCAAGAGAGTGAAATACAATGCCCAAATACTTATAGAACTGTACTTGTACCAGCAGATGCCTATCCATGATCCATCTAAACTTTATTCTGGTGACTCAATAGGTGGCATTGGATCTCATGCACCAGCCCCTCTTCTCCTTCCCTTGATGTCTTATCTGTCTTCCCAATAAACTATTTCATTCTCTTCTGTTCAGTCTTTATGCAATAGTTAAAATAATGCTATCAGCAATGAATTAAGTATCTCAGCATATCATTTAATTCTCTTTTTCCCTTGATAATCTCCCATCCATTTTATACATTTAATGATATACAGTTACTCTTAATTCATTTAGTTATATTTATTCATAAGCAAATCCATGTTTCCAGTTCCTTTACATTCTGCAGTTCTTTGGATTTGTCTAGGAATGGGCCTGGCTCACAGTCCTGAAACTGCACCTGGAGTTATTTAGGAGTCATGAGATTAAACTACTTTAATGACGACACAGAAGCGGGTCATGACAGTGACAACAAGGAGGATCGCTGCAACAGCAACAACACAGTTTGGGCTCCTCAAGGCCCCAGTGCAGATGCTGCCAACAACTGCCAGCAATTTAGCCCAGTCAATGTAATGAGAAGGGGAGAAACGTCACAGGTACAGGCTAAAATTTTCCTGAATTCTCACCAATCTGCTAGCTCTCCCAAGCTGACTGGGCATGTGCAGCCTGCTGCACTAGGCTCATGAGCTTAGAAGGGGGTCAGTGAGGACACTGGTGGGCTGTCTCTCTAGGCTGTGCAACAGATACCCAGTGGAGAGGAGGAGGAACAATCGGGTGCTGCAAACCCTGTCCCCTCTCCAGTTCTGTGGCTCTGTGACCCCAAATAGGGCAGATAGAAGTGCAACAAATGAGGGAGCTTCTGAGGGCATGGGCACATGTACCCTTGAACCCACAAGATCTAATACATACATAAAATAATCAGCAAAACACCACTTCAGTATATTTGCAGAAGAACACACACCTGAAATGGTCTTATACTGAATCAGACCATTGGTCCATCATGGTCAGTATTGTCTACAGACTGGTAGTGGCTCTCCAGGGTGTTAGGTAGAGGTATTTCATATAACTTACTACCTGATTCTTTAACTGGAGTTTGCAGGGATTGAACCTGGGACCCCAGATATTCTTCCACTGGGCCATGGCTCCTTCCCAATTCATTCAAATTAGTCCTCATTGCTCATTAAAGAACTGATCACTGAGGTCCAGTATGGGGTAGTGATTAGAAAGGAGTCACCAACCTTTTCTTTAATGAAAGCTACTATCCTGAGTGACTCCCCGTCCCCCCACCTTACATTCTATCAAGTTTTGTCCTGTTCTAAAAACAGAACATGGACTAGGAAGAGCACCAGAAATGTTGTTATCAGCTAAAAAGCACAGAGAAAAATCTTATCGAATATAAACTTTTTCTTTAAACAATTAAGCCTGGTACAGATCTTTTCACCATCTTTTCCTGGGTCTTCTAGGGGAGCATGAGGTACTCTAGACCAGCAAGAGAACTGCTGATACCTCACAAGCTACCTGTTGGAGTCTCCTGGGTTAAGAGGGTTGGACAACTGCTGGGGAGACCTCGATTCAAATCCCCACTTAGTCATGAAGCTTACTGGGTAACCTTTATCCTTTCTCTTCCTGTCTTTCTTCACAGGGATGTTTTAAAGATAAAATGGAAGAAGGGAGTGCCATGTTTGTTGCCCTGAGTTCCTTGGAGGAAGGGTAGGTTAAAAATGGTAGTAGGTCACATTTCTACCTAGTTGCAGTATTTATACTATGCAGAACCACTACACAATAAAAACTAATGTTCTTTCAATATAAATCATTAACCAAACTACTATAAAACAAGATGAGTAGCTGTGTTGGTCTGTCTGTAGCAACAGAAAAGAGTAGGAGTCCAGTAGCACCATAAAGACTAACAAAATTTATGGTAGGATGTGAGCTTTCATGAGTCACTGCTCACTTAGTGACTAAATTTTGTTAGTCTTTAAGGTGCTACTGGACTCTTACTCTTTTCTTCTACTATCGAACAAGAATGAGATGCATCAAATGCAAATATTAAATGATAAATTCTTCAACATATCTAATTTCTTAGTACTGTTCTGCTCTGTGGGCATGTTGCGCCCTGTCTGCGTGCTACCTGCTGGACTCTAGGCAGTTCTCTTTTGTGTAGGGTATCCAGCAGGAGACCAGGGAGACAGGGACATGGGGCAGCAGCTCTTGGCAATGGTGTGACATTACTTCAGGGAAAAACCCAGAAGTGGTGTCATGTCTCTTTAGGAATTGCCAGAAATGATGTGGTTTTACCACAGAGTTTCTAGTGATTCCTAGAGAGGGTGTGGTGCTACTTCTGGGTTTCCCCCGAAACTGAAATCATGCCATCACTAACTCTTTTTCTCTTGCCAGTGTCAGTAGGGTTGCCAGCCTCCAGGTGGGAGCAGCAGATCCCCTGATAATGTTTTTCTGTTTAATGTGTAATTTTGCCCAGATGGAAAAAGACCCTTTGAATACAATATGACTTACTTGTAGAAACAATGCATTGGATTGAGGTACAAAAAGTGATATTCTTTGAGCTAATATGGACGATAAATTTTCCACGTGACAAGGTTTTCATCCACATGGATGTTTTGTTGCCTGTATTATGAAAAATGCACTATGAGCCCTTTTGCGAATCATTCTTATGTGTAGGGTAAAGATTCCACACCTTTTCCACGTAGTTAGGTGGCTGCATTGGGTGTAGAAGGTACAAAGCCTCCCACCCAAGGTTTCATGGCTAGAGTCTTCTCTATATTACAGCTTTTTCAGATTCACAATAACTCACATCACTTATATATACTAAAATACTGAAACTATCTTCTCCATTAGCCATTGTGTGTGTGTTTTCAAACTTATATTTAGATATTGGGGGGGGTGCTCTTAAGAACTGAACCCTTATCATTTTATAGTATGTAGAATGTAATGCAATGAAGGAATTAATCAGGGTTTGG